AAAAATTAGCCGGGCATGCTGGCAGGAGCCTGTAATCCCAGCTACTCAGGAGGCTGGGGCAGGAGAAGGAGCATTACCTGAACCAGGGAGGTGGAGGTTGCAGTGAGCCGAGAAAGCACCACTGCACTCCAGCCTGGGTGAAGAGCGAGACTCTGTCTCAAAACAACAACAACAAAAACCACAAGGCACGTGTGTACCTATGTAATAAATCTGCACATAATGCCAATGTACCTCAGAACTTATAATTATTTTTTTAAAAAAAGGACACATTATTTTGGAGTCCTCATTTTTTCCTGTTTCTCTCTTAGGTTCTCGCTTAGGTTTTTAGAATCGTTGAACATTATTATTATTTTGGGGATGGAGTCTCTCTCTGTCACCCAGGCTGGAGTGCAATGTCATGACCTCAGCTCACTGCAACCTCTGCCTTCTGGGTTCAAGTGATTCCCCTGCCTTGGCCTCCTGAGTAGCTGGGATTACAAGCGCCTGCCACCGTACCGGCTAATTTTTGTATTTTTAGTAGGGACTGGGGATTTCGCCATGTTGGCCAGGCTGGTCTTGAATTCTTGACCTCAGATGATCCACCTGCCTTGAACTCCCAAAATGCTGTGAGTCCAGGTGTGAGCCACTGCACCTATTTATACTGATGGCATTCTGTCTTAAAAAAAGTTGTTGATTTTTTATGTCATTTCTCTAGATGAAGTATTCCAACTTTCAGAGTGATTTGTACTTAGTTTTCACTGTAACGTTTTCTGGGGCTACAAATTACCATAAATGTTTTAATCCAAATAAGAGTTAGTGATTGTGAAGTGCCATATCTGGAATAAACACATAGAGTAAATACAGATTCCAATTATAATTGCTTACTCCTGTGCTTTCTGTAGTTTTGGTCCACATTGAACTTTCATTTGCAGAATAATTTTGTAACTGAACTCTAGCTCATTTCAAATGTAATTGATGGTGAAAATGTCTCTTTCTGCAATGTTCGTAAAATTTATTTTGAGAGAAGAACTTGTGAGCTGTTATAGCAAAGTATGTGGGAAGAATTTAAGATTAGGTGAGTTTAACAGTTTAGTGCAAGTATGTGTAGGATAATTGGTCCTCAGATAACTTCTCTAATTAGCAGGAGTTTTAAAAGGATGCAATAATTTTTTTTGTTTTTGTTGCCCATGCTGGAGTGCAATGGTGTGATCTTGGCACTCTGCAACCTCTACCTCCTGGGTTCAAGTGATTCTCCTGCCTCAGTCTCCCGAGTGGCTGGGACTACAAGCGTGTGCTACCACACCCAGTTGATTTTTGTATTTTTAGTAGAGATGGGGTTTCGTCTTGATGGCCAGGATGGTCTTAATCTCATGACCTCATGATCCACCTGTCTTGGCCTCCCAAAGTGCTGGGATTACAGGTGTGAGCCATGGCCCCAAGCCTAATAATATTTTTTTTTTTTTTTTTTTTTTTTGGGACGGAGTTTCGCTCTTGTTACCCAGGCTGGAGTGCAATGGCATGATCTCGGCTCACCGCAACCTCCGCCTCCTGGGTTCAGGCAATTCTCCTGCCTCAGCCTCCTGAGTAGCTGGGATTACAGGCACGCGCCACCATGCCCAGCTAATTTTTTGTATTTTTAGTAGAGACGGGGTTTCACCATGTTGACCAGGATGGTCTCGATCTCTTGACCTTGTGATCCACCCGCCTCGGCCTCCCAAAGTGCTGGGATTACAGGCGTGAGCCACCGCGCCCGGCCAATATTTTTAAAGGAAGTTTCTCTAAAAAAAAATTTTTTGGTATCATTTAGTTTTTTTTTTTTTTTTTTCATTTTTAATTTAAATTATTTATTTTATTTGGGGCTGGGCAAGGTCGCCTTTAATCCCAGGACTTTGGGAGGCCAAGGTGGGTGGATCACTTGAGGTCAGGAGTTCGAGATCAGCCTGGCCAACATAGTGAAACCCCATCTTTACTAAAAATATGAAAATTATCTGGGAGTGGTGGTAGGTGCCTGTAATTCCAGCTACTTGGGAGACTGAGGTTGTAGTGAGCCTAGATTGTGCCACTGCACTCCAGCCTGGGTGACAGAGCGAGACCCTCTCTCTAAATAAATAAATAAATAAATAAATAATTCTTTATTTGGTTTTCCCTAAATCAACTAAAGTTAATTTTTCTGAATTAAATTTAATTCAACAACATTAATATATGATACAGATGTGATATCTGATAGCGATCGTGACATTGGGGTCCCTCTACAGTAACATTTATATAAATATTTTTAATACCATAGATGAAAAGGATGGTTTGACTCTCAGCCTTCGAGAATCACAGAAACTCTTTCAGGATGGAAAAGAAAGAGAGATACAGCTTGAAGCTCAAATCAAAGCAATGGAGACTCAAATACAAGCATTAAAAGTCAATGAAGAACAGGTACCTATTTTAACTTATGTATGGTAAAAAAGTTAAAAAGCTTAGTTATTTAACAAAACTTTTTATAGGGCAGGACTAAATTTAGAAGAACTTTGAAGTTATTGACAAAGCATTAGAACTTAAATTTCCTGAGTGAAATAGTTTCCTTCAGAATTGGTATCCTGAGAAGCTTTTTTTCCTGCTTCTTAACCATTTGGAGAACTGTTCTTTAGACTTGAGTTTAAAGTGGTGACACATTCACATTCTTTGATTAATGAGATAGCCATTTGATTTTTGGAAATAGTCACAAGTCATTGGTAGCTAAGCCTGGTGGTGGTTGATTGATTTTTTTCCTGGGGGCATGATTAAAACTGAAAGCGACTATGAAATAATGAGCTTGGTTTTGGGTGAGACTTGTAGCTAAGTCTGAGGATAGTTTAATGAAAGAGTTTAAACAGTGTTGTCTTACATCTGGCTCCTCTTCGTCATTCAGGTCATAGCTAAAAATAGTCACCTTTTCAGAGGACTTTCCATTCACTTTATATGTGAGGTAGCCCGTAGCTCCGTCTTCCAACTCATCTTCATCTTGCCATGTTCTGTTACTCTATTCTCTAACTATCTGAAATGATCTCATTTGTTTACTTGTTATTTATGGTCTCTTCCCACTAGAAAGTAGTAAAAGCTTAGACTTATTCTATGTGTGGTCATTATATCCTTAGTGTTTAGAACCCTGCCTGGCTCAAATTATCCGTGTTGTTTAATGGATGGCTCTCTTAGTAATGAAAGCAATATTGGAATAAATGGGCAGTGTCTGGGATAGGATGAAGAATATCTCCCTTTTGAAATTTTCATTATTGTATGTAATGTAGATTATTTTTAACTTTTTGAAAACCGTTATCAGATTAAAAAGTTAAATTGCTTTTATGTAGTTAAAACTTAGAACTTTGTCAACTTTTTATGTTAGCAATTACTTTATAAAATAATAGTGTAGCATAAAAAAAGCAGCAGAATCATCAAGTGTATTAGTTTCCTATTGCTGCTGTAACAAATGACCACAAATTTAGTGGTTTAAAACAACACAAATTTATTTCACAGTTCTGGAGGTCAGAAGTCTGACATGGGTCTCAGTAGGCTAAAATCAGGGTGTCAGCAAGGCTATGTAGCTGTCTGGAAGCTTTAGGGGAGAATTCATTTTCTCACTCTTTCCAACTTCTAGAGGCTGCCTGTGTTCCTTGGTTTGTGACCCATTCTGTCTTCAAAGCCAGCAATGGCTGGTTGAGTCTCTCTTGTTCTGACTTTTCTGCCTTAGTTTTCCTCATTTATGGACCCTGTGGTTACATTGGGCCCACCTGGATCATCTAGGATATTCACCTTATTCTAAGGCAATCTAATTAGCAATATTAATTCCATGTACAATCTTAATATTCCCTTCCCATGTAATATAACTTATTCACAGGTTTTGGGGATTAGGACATAGGCATTTCAGGGGGCTATGATCTTGCCTACAATACCAGCCGGGCAGTTACAGTTTTGAAAACTTTGTTTTTAGTAAGTGACCATTGGCAGTTTTCATCAGTCTTTGAAGCAACAGTTGTCATTTTTCTATGACCTAACAATTTGGGTTACCCCACACTTTGGTCATAGAGCAATGCAAATAGCACTGAGGTCATCACAGCAGCAGCAGATTCCTTGCCTTAAAGTCACATCCATCATGCTGCGCAAAATCCTCTTTCACTCCCCGCAGGTAACTACCAAATGAATTTTTCTCAGAGAACACTGTTTCCAACAACTATGGGCCTGGAGGGTCCCAGCTAGGGACATTTTAAGGAGCTTGAGCCATGATGGGTGGAGACCACTTCTTCTTTACTCTCATTAAAACATGCTTGAGTTTTAGTCTATAGCAAAAGAAGTTTATAGACAGCACAGAGTTAAAATACTCTGCAGATATTTTAAACTTGGATATCCTGTGTGTATTTACTAGATGATCAAGAAGTCCAGAACAACTGAAATGGCTCTGGAAAGCTTGAAGCAGCAGCTGGTGGACCTGCATCATTCTGAATCACTTCAACGAGCTAGAGAACAGCATGAGAGCATTGTCCTGGGCCTCACAAAGAAGTACGAAGAGCAAGTATTGTCCTTACAAAAGAATTTGGATGCCACAGTTGCCACACTTAAAGAGCAGGTTGGAATGATTTCAAATGAGCAACTGTTATCAACAAGTAAAGCTGGTTATGTTTTGTAACTGATATTTTATGGTTCATCATATAGAATTCGTGGATGTGTGTAGTAAATGTTAGATTGCGTGTGATGTGAGTGAAACTTAAAAGCCAGTGAAATTTTAATCTGAGAATACATCCTAAAGGTATGCTTTTGGAGACTCTACTTCTTGTATGATTATTAGTACTTTCTCAGTTTTCACATTACTTGTTTTTTATTTGTAGAGTTATTTGTGCATATTGTTTATATGGTCCTAGAATAAATCCAGATCAAAACAAATGAGTGTGCCAGAGGCTGGCTGGAACCTGAGAGGTTTTCTTGGGAGCTTAACCACTAGAAAGCCTTACTTGGATCTCCCAGCAGTTGGTAATTCACCTATTGATACAATCTGTTGAGAAATGATACTTGGGAGAAGAGTTAATTTTGAGGACAGTATAATTTATAAAATAAAGAAGACAGTCTGATCTAGACTTAATGAGATTTGAAGCATGAGCATGTTGCACAGTGAATTTTTATTATTTTTGCTCAAGGGGGAATAAAATATTGTTAGCTAAATGTGAGTCAGGGGGTAAGTTTGCTTGTGCTCCATAACTCTAAGTAATGACTTAAGTGAATAAAATTTCAGAAAGCATTTTTCTTAACATAATTTCAAAATTGATTTAACCTAACGGAAGAGGAGAAGAAAAATAAGGGGTATGGAAAATTTCACCACACTTAAAATTCATGCTGATTTGGGTTATTTCTGACTCATATAGCTGCCTCTAAATTTTTCCATGCTTTTAGGTAGAAATATTAAGATTGAATTACTGGCAATAATTATTTGTATATCATTTTATTTTTTACATGTATTCATATGTGTTTTTGTTAGATCTATTTCACTATGTACTTTATATAGAAAAAACATTGTAAATTTGATCAATATGGAGGATATATAGGAGTAGGAAAAGATGAAGGCCAGGTACAGTGGCTCATGCCTGTAATCCCGGCTCTTTTGGAGACTGAGGCAGGTGGATCACTTGAGCCCAGGAATTTGAGACTATCCTGGGAAAAATAGTGAAACCTTGTCTCTACAAAAAAATTAAAAATTATCTAGGTGTGGTAGCATGCACCTCTAGTCCCAGCTACTTGGGAGGCTGAAGTGGGAGGATTGCTTGAGCCCAGGAGGTCGGGGCTGCAGTGAGCCATGATTGCATCACTGCAGCCTTGGTAATGCAGTGAGACTCTGTTTAAAAAAAAAAAAAAAAAACAAGGAAGTTGAAGTCTTTATCAAATTATTGAAAAGCCTGCTTTATAGAATTTTAAACAGATAGAATTTTAGATAAGTTTCAAAAGTTTTTATTTCATTTTTAAGTTAATTTTGGTCAAACATAGGCTAGCATTAATGTTAGTTGGATGTGGACAGTAGCCCTTCTTGGATGACTAGAGAAGAGTGGATCCTGGGGGCTTTTCCATACTGGGTTGGAGGTCTCCATTCTCTGTTGACTTAAACACAGTTTCATTAGGGATGGGTTGGAAGGAAGTTGTAGTGTGTTCTATCCGTGTGCCCACTGCATTCTCTGTTGTCCACTCCCCCAACCCCTTCAATAGAAGACCTCTAAGACTAAAGTCAGAACAAATTCTTGATTCTGTGCTGGGTGAGCTTCAGACTCCTGAACCCATAAATTGAAGGTGCTAAGATCTTTTCCCACTGTTGCATTCTTTGCTTATTTTTATTTTGTTTCATTATTATTAAACAGAGCATGGCTGATGTTAGGCTCAGCATATAATTGCATAGCTGCTTTGCAAAGTGGTGATTCTAAAGTGCCTAATAGAAGCCCAGACCTCAGCATTATGCCACATATCCATGTTACACACCTGCATACATATCCTCTGAATCTAAAATTAAAAACAAAATCTGTTTTGTTTTTAAACTAGTATATTTTGAGATTAAACCTAGTATATTTTGAGAAATATATGGATTGTAAAATTATTAGTGTTTTTCTTAAGATACCAGCTTTTCTGAGTAGAAAAGATTATATGCATTCACGACATATTATAACAGTTCTATTTTATGGGGCTGATTTTCCCTTGAGTTTTTTTAGTGAGATAGAAAAGATGAAAGAAATGGGCTTCTTGGAGCTCACAGTGTTCCTGCAATGTCATAATTTTCTCCTAGTAAACTGTCTCCTGGACTCTCTCCAGCAAAGTGACTTTTACCTCTTCCCAGTCATAGAAGTGTCATGTTAAGATCTCTGATTATCTTGTTGCTGGTATATTACTTTTCTTCATTCTGTCTCCTTGAAATCTTCAGCTTTTGGTGAAGTCCCAGACTTTGTTTTCTATGTCATCACCTTCTACCTTTTCTTTAATGTTCTATTTAAAGGCTCTACTTGGAACACTTTCTGTTGGCTTAGAGACTCCCACAGACTTCTCTGTGTGTGGTCTAGTCCTCATTTTCCTGTGCATTAGAACCTTGTTCAGCTCTTTTTCCTCCCACAGATTCAGCTGTCATCTCTATCATCTCCCTCCCTCCCTCCCTCTCTCTCTCTCTCTCTCTTTTTTTTTTTTTTTTGAGACGTAGCCTCACTCTGTTGCCTAGGCTGCAGTTCAGCTATCATATCTTTATCATTACACTTGTCTCAGTCTTGAAAAATGTCTGCCCATGTCAGTCTTGAACTACTCAAGCTAATCATGGCAAAGATTGAGCTACTCATCTTGTTTTGATTTTTGGTATTAAAACTTTATAGGTTTATGAGTATAATCTGTTTTCCTGAACTTGTCAACAGGATACACCGTGGTTTAATTGATTGTTACATATAATCAAATTATTGGCAGAGTCTGTCTTTTCTTTACAATTTTTTGTTTAGACCGGGTCTCACTGTGCTGCCCAGGCTGGAGTGCAGTGGCCCAATCTCAGCTTGCTGCAACCTCCGCCTCCCAGGTTCAAGCAATTCTCCTGCCTCAGCCTCCTGAGTAGCTGGGATTACAGGTGCATGCCACCATGCCCTGCTAATTTTTGTATTTTTAGTAGAGACGGGGTTTTACCATGTTGACCAGGCTGCTCTCAAACTCTTGCCCTCAGGTGATCCTCCCGCCTCAGCCTCCCAAAGTGCCGGGATTACAGGCATGAGCCACCATGCCCGGCATACAATTTTTTAAAATATACGTCCACCTTTTCTTTAACTTTGTTTGCTAGTTCCCAGTCCCTTGTAAACACAATTGTGACCTTTCCAGGATAAAATATTAGCTGTCTCTCCACCCCTTCTTGCTGTGATTACTGACATGCTGTCATTAATATGAGCTCATTCATTGTGTTTGCCACGTTACTTTGGCAGTTTAGAACCAGGTTTCTCAAGCTGGCCTGGAATTAGCAGCAGTGTGCCAGGAGGTTTGCAGTGCTGAATAAACATGGACCAGTTTCCAGAAGCTTCATTTTGCTCGAAAATTTAGTAGAAAAAGTTTAAAGCAAACACAGCTTCATTATGAAATAGAATACAAAATTCATATGAATTTTTAAGTTAAAATAGGACACTTCAGAGTCTCTTTGCATCAAGGAACTTCTGTGTTTGTGCTTTTATGGGATGTACCTTGTGTTTATATCCTGAAGGTATTATTGGGCTTTAGGTTATACTACAGATCAGGCAGCAGAAGTCTAAGGGCTTTTCTCTACTTCAAAGCCCTTTCTCAGTATTCTTATTTCTTATTTTCTTCAGGTTTTCTTGTGTAATTTTAATTATTTAACCTAATACACTCCCCTGCCTCTCCCATGCTCTGCCATCTGCCTGGAATTCAGCCTGTGTAGCCTTTTTTGAAAGAGAGGTGATGATTTCGACAGTGTATTTGTTCTACCTGGACTCAGGACTCCCATGGTTCATTATACCCAAACACATTTTCTTTTGTTAGAAACTTGAGTATATTGCATACACACTCTATATTTTGTGTAATCATATATAGTTATGCATATGTACATACACATTTACCCTATCTTTGTCATTTGTTTTTCAAGTGTTTATTGTTAGCACTTGAGGTGTCTAAGGCACTGCAGAAGCAACTTCAAGGGGGCTATTAAGAGAAATAAGACATGTAAAAGGTAGAGAAAGACAAGAGAGAAACAGATGAAGTTTAAAAGAAGTTCAGAAGAGGGAAAGATTATTTTTGGCTACTCTTAATGGAATGAACTTTTGGCTGCTTAGAATACAGTGAGTTTTCATGTGGTTATCTATATCCTTAATGTTTTGCGATACAAATTGCATGATTCAAAGCAGTCTAGCTACATATATATATATGTATGTGTATACATATAAATACACATACACACACACACACACACACACACACACACACAGACTTATACTGACAGTATAAAATACATATAGGAAAGTAATACATTTTCTTTGGCTTGAATAAAATCTAATTTCTGAATAACATTGTCTTGTGAATATAGAGTTGAAGGAGACTTTAGAAAGCATTTAATTCAACCGTTATTAGCATAATTACAAAAGAAGAAACAAACTGGAGAGTTGAAGCCTGACCTATGCTCTCGATTCCGAGTTCTGTGCACTTAACTTTGTAGCAGAGGTGATGCTGCCATGTGATGCTCTTGTATTTGACATAAAATCCAATTAGGTATCATAATTTTTAGTTTAATCTTTATTAAAATCCTTCATGAAAATGACTTGCTGAACTTTTTTTTTCAATTTAGGAAGACATTTGCTCTCATTTGAAAGATCATGTGAAACAACTGGAAAGGAATCAAGAAGCAATCAAGTTAGAAAAGACTGAGATCATTAATAGGTTGACAAGAAGTCTAGAGGAGAGTCAACAGCAGTGTGCCCATTTGTTGCAGTCTGGTAGGTGTCTGGCAGGGCCACTATCTCCCCACAGAAAGAATATAGTAGGATCCATGAATTGTAAAAATCCAGAAGGGACAGAAAACACAATTAGTGATACGTTTCTTAAAATATATATATAAAGGTTTAGTTTGTTTTTGTTTTTCTTTCTTTTTTTTTTTGAGACAGAGTCTTCCTCTGTCTCTAGGCTGGAGTGCAGTGGCGCAATCCCGGCTCACTAAAACCTCTGCCTCCTGGGTTCAAGCCATTCTCCTGCCTCAGCTTCCCGATTAGCTGGGATTACAGGCATGCATCATCGCGCCCAGCTAATTTTTGTAATTTTAGTAGATATGGGGTTTCACCATGTTGACCAGGATGGTCTCGATCTCTTGACCTTGTTATCCACCTGCCTCGGCCTCCCAAAGTGCTGGGATTATAGTCGTGAGCCACTGCACCTGGCCAGTTTGTTTTTATTAAATAATTTGGAAGCGGGAGACCAGTATAAAGTACCAAATAAAAATAACCGTCATTCTACTGAGATAATTATTGTTAGTGTTTGAATGTATTTCCTTCAAATGATATGTACACACATAGACAATGTCCTGCTTCTTTGTGTAATGCGTTTCTGAAAACATACTAAAGCTGAACATGCAAAACTTGAACAATAAAATATGTTGTAAGGTAATTTCTATCCCCCAAAACTAGAAATGACTGTAAAATTCCATTATATTTTGCTTTTTAAGGCCCAATATTTGATCATATAGCTCTATCCTTTGTATAACTTCTTTCACATTGTTTCCCTCATAATGGAATAGTGACTTACCTAGTCAGTTGAGGCCAGAGAGTTACATTTTTGTCACATTTAAGATTTCTAATATGGTCTCCGTGGTACTAAGTTTGAGACATACGCTTCCTATCATTTTAGTTTTAGCAGTTGTTTTATTTCTTATTAATTTTTATAAAATAATATTAGAGCAAAGAGCAATAAAATGATCGTGTTTGTACAAACACTGCTAAATAGACAAAACTTCCCTGTTTACTGGTGAGTAGCTCACATCGTGAAAATACATCAACAGTTATTCGTTAACTGGTATATGAAAGTCACACTTTGGGATATGAAAGGTAATTTAGACTGGTGGTACAATATGTGAAAGGGTGGGTTATTCAAAAATTTGAAGTACTAAAGTCAAAGACTGCCTAAATATATGTGTATATACATCTTGGTAGGGAGCAAAATTTGGATTATGCTTTATTAAGGCCCCTTCCCTGTTTAGTTTTGTAGCCTTTGTTTTCACTTGGCATTCCTTGGTGAGCCTTTTTCCTGGCCATTAAGTGCTTTGAAAGTATTATTTTCTTTATGCTATCATTGCTTCATTTAATCATTTCCCAGATGGTCACTTTGAAACTTAATAACGTCCCTTTTAAAATGGGAACAGTGCCCCCACCACCTTGCCCAGTATATTTAAAATACTAAAGTTTCTAAAGTTTCAGAATTATAACCTAAGATACTTCATTTACACGTGGAAGTGGAGATGCTGGATAGAAAAGCATTTAGAAAGAAGTTAAAGGCAGCATGGTGTAGTTTTCTTATTGCAGGGTAGAAATGGGTTCCAAAGAATTTTTTTATTTGTCTTTCCATGAGTTGGAGTGTTATACTCCTCTTAAAGCACTTCTGGAATGTTAAGGTCTGTAGATGTGGCTGATTTGATTCATAAAAAGGTCAAGGTAGCCCATGCCTTGAACTGCCCAAGGTCATATGGGATGTCATAGTAAATCTTGGAAATGTCTGGCTCAGACGTATGCCTTCTGGGTCCCACGGGTTCTGTGTGTGCTTCTAAAGAGACAGTGGTAATGAAGCAGAGCCTTAGTGGATTCAAGTCTTCTGTAGATCTTAAGTACTCTGTCCCCTTACAGTTTTTCAGTGTATCCTATGGTTCTTTCCTCTACAGGGTCAGTACAAGAGGCGGCTCAGCTGCAATTCCAGCTGCAGCAAGCACAGAAGGCACATGCTATGGGTGAAAACATGAACAAGGCTTTACAAGTGAGTGTTGCCACTTGGAAGAGATTCTATGGGTATCTGAGTTAGGCAATAGTTACATCACCTTTTGAATCCTGAGTTTCTCTGTATAATAGAGGTAGTTGGACCACTTTCAAACCAGCCAGTGGGAGTTGTTCACCATCTCCTTCATGCAGCTGGCAAGTCAAGCCCAGGTCTAATTGCAGAACCGAGGCCATGCCCTTCCTGCCAGTCTGCCTGCCACCTCCTTCAAGTGGCATGTCTTTTCATCTTTGGGTGTATCCCAGAGATCAGTTCATTTATGGGGGTGAGGAAAGTTGAATTTGCTGCAGTTCTTTCATATCCTCCTTGAGTACTCTTACATTTTCCACTGGAGGGGGAGGAAAATATTGGAGAAGAGTTCCATTATTACCTCCACCAAAAGAGGTATTTTGCCTTTTCACCACTGGCAGGCTAAACTACAACACATTCTTGGCAAACCAGCATACTTTGTCCTGTACTCTAGTAAGCCAGAAAGTGCCGCCATCAGCACTTCAGCCCAAGAAAATACCACTTTCCTTGGAGGACAAAATCTAAGAGACAGAGGTGTGTGAGAAAATGCTTATGTTTGTTTTTTCTTTCATTTATTCATTCAGGTTTTACTTGAAAACCTGATATGTGCTGGCCTTTATAAAGTATAATGTACACTACTAATATATTTGAAGAAGTTTTTTTTTTTTTTTTTGCCTTCTATGGATCATTAAAACAAATTTTGAAGTATAGATAGAATGGCTGATTTTTTCATATAGGAAAATAATGAAAATTAATTTTAATAATTTTGTATTGTAGGAAGAATTAACGGAACTAAAAGATGAAATTTCTCTCTATGAGTCTGCTGCAAAACTAGGAATACATCCAAGTGACTCAGAAGGAGAATTAAATATAGAACTCACCGAATCATATGTGAATTTGGGTATTAAAAAGGTCAACTGGAAAAAATCCAAAGTTAACAGGTATGGAAAAAATATTTTAATTTACTATGAAAGAACCAACATTAATATTACTGATGATGCATGGTATCTGTTTTAAGGTGAGGGCATATTATTTTTATAAGTTAATACCATATATTGAATGCAGATACCTTGCATTTATCAATGGTATATGAAAAATAAACATTAATGTGTCCTAAGACCCTATGACCTTACTTTTAAAGTAGAGATTCTGTTTTTTAGACTACTGCTTAATATAGATATTTTAGCAATCTCATAGAAGAAAGTGTTTTATCACTTCTGCCAGGGTCTGACTGGGGAGGGAGTAGTAGTGGTGGTAGAAGGAGAATTAAACACCAAAAGAACTTTAGAAGCACTTGCTAAGTGGAAGTGCTATCTAAGGCTCAGGGAGTAGAGTACAAAAGATGAAATAGGAACTGTCCTTCCCACAGGGAGCTTACATGTTTTCTGGTCAGGGAGAAGGAAATATTCTGGGAAATAACTAAGTGCTATGCAATCAATGTTATGTTTGTTGTATAGAAGTGGGATTTATATATTTCCTTTACTGGTTTTGGTTAGGGAAGAGATATATGGTGTTTGGAAGACATTGTATTTAGGCTAAGGAAAGATTTTCGGATGCGTTTGGCCTTTACCACCACAATTTTGTTTATAGTTTAAGACTGAGTTTGCCATCATTATTGAATTATAGTTTCCTGAAGTGTTTAATACATGTTTTATTTCAGGTATTACACAACTAACTACAAATATATAAATGTCCTGAAAAGTTTGCTTTACAGTAAGTTTTAGAAGTTATGTATTTTGAGACTGTGATCCCATTTTAAGGAGGATTCAGTAAATTGAAATATAAAGTGATCAGGTGATACTGTGAAAGAAGATATTATTTTAGTTTACTAAGGCTCCATTTATCTGGAGGTCTGTCTTCAGGGACTCACCGTGCAAATCACAGCTCTACTATCTAGAGGGAAGCAAAGAAGAAAATATCAGAACTAGATTATATGATGTATTTAGTAGGGGCCACCGTCATGTTCTTATCCCAGGACCATATTGACTTAGATTTATTTGTACCCCATGAATTGTCTGATTTTCTAATTGACCGCAGAGGGCTAGGGCAAGGGTTGGGAAAGACACCATCCGTGCTTCAGCAAGGCAGCTCATCTTTAGCAAGGAGAGAACTATGGAAACCTACCAGGCTGGAGTTGCTAAGCATCACAGCAAATAGCTTTACACATTTCCATATGTTTGAGCCGCATTAGAATGTCCACAGTTATGATCCCAAGTTGTCAAACAAAGGCTTCCAATATGGTTAGTAAATTAAAGCAAAAAAGGAAGTGCATTGTATCTTTTTCAGACATATTTGTATAAAATGTTAAAGTTAATATAGTCATCTAGAAAATTCACTGCTGTGAATGCCTCATTCCCTGCTAATGCCAGATTAATTATAAGGGGTTAGTGGAAAGAGCATGGGCTTTAGATCCAAACTGTTTTGAATAATTTGCCATTTTATTACTAGCATTATAAGCTTAGACAAATTTCTTAGCTTTTCTGAGCCTCTTTTCTTATCAGACTTAGTATCCCTTGGTGGTTAAACTGAGGATTAAAATAATGAATATAAAGTGCCTCATGTAACATGTTCTAACATATATTAGGTAGTTGAAAAATGATAGCTGTTACTATTATTATTCAGTAGATGGTTGATTAATATATATCATTGATCAGATTTTATAAGTCACGTGAATTTTACATTAATTCCACACATACTTTGTAAAATGTTCTTGATCCTCAACCTTGTCAAAAACATCAAATCCAATATTATCATGTGAGAGGTGGAAAAACCAGAGTGAACTCCTTTACTCATTAAGGCAGACAATTAGTAGCAGAAGCAGTATTTGAGCCCAAGTACTATACTCCTGAGAAAGGCTCAGTTGTCTGTTCATATTTACATGTCAGTCAAACCTTTTTGCCTTAAACTTCATTCTTCATGTCTTTTATTTTTGAGGATTAAAGATGTAGTTCATGCCAAAAAATATTTTTCTCTAATTTGTTACTAGTTTTATTTTGTGCTATAATTGGTCTGAGAATTGGATAAGTAATACATTATGTATATTTATCTTTTCAAATAGTTACTTCTTCACGATGTATATTAAAATATATTCTGCTACATTTGCACTTTGTATTAGTGCTCATAGCCAAAATCCTGTACTCATCTTAAAGCACATTCCTATAGATAATAAACCTGAGACAACACATCATTATTATAGTAAAAGGAATGATGGACACATTCAGTGGGAAAGTGAAGAATAAAGCATAGTGTGATTAGTCTTTGCACTCAGCAAAAAGACATCCAATGAAGCACAAGATAAGCAAAGAAAAATTTTGCTTGTAGTCATCCCACCCACCAGCAGTTTAATAGATGATAGTTTGCTTTCGTGGAAAACTAAAAGCAGTTATACTCAGATCAAATTTACAGGAGATAAAGGAGAGATGAGATTTCCTCTGGTCTACTGTGTTTCCTAGAATAAAAGGAAGCAATCATTTTCCTGTGTTGGGAATTTTAGTTCTTTGTTGACTTGAGCTGCTTTCAAATCACTGACCCAAATATTGGTGGCTACAAGCTTTTATTACTAACTACCTCCTCCCTCAAGCTACTGCCTAGTAAATTTTAAGGGTTTAGCCTCAATGTTCTATTTTACATTCATGGAATTTGAGTAGCTAAATCTGCATGCAGCTTGCAGACAGCTTCCTCTCTCCCTTATTGTAGTTGGCTGCTAAGCTTAAATAATAAACATTTAACAAGTGGAATGCCTTTTCCCTTTGGTCTTCTCAGCAGGCTTCATAAGGGACTACAGTTTATTTGGATTTAGGAGAACTGACTTCCATAGGGCTCAGTAGTGAGCCTTTTTCAGGATTGGTCACCACCACTGATTTATTTTCCTCTGTGAGGAAAGAAGAGAAAATTATTTTAGCAAGCACTTTCTCCCTCTGTCTGACTTGGCTCCCTTTAGGAGTACAGGATGTGCTATTTCAGTGGTCAGCATTCAGTAAGAAAAGAAGTTGGGGATGCATAATTTGTTAACTGAGCAAAATAATCATTCTGCTTAAGGTTAGTTCACCATGTCTTATAACACAGGAAGTTCTGTTGTAAAATATTTTGTATTTCTTATATAATTATATTTCTATTTCTTATTTATATTTTCTACTTAATGGAAATAGAAGTGGTTTAAATGATATATATACAGACAGACTACACAATGTATATTACATATACAAAAGTTGCATAATGTATTGCAAAAAGCTCCTTTTATAACATAGGAGTTTATATAATAGTTTATTCATTTTCTCCACACACACACACACACACACACACACACACACACACACACACATATATATTTCTAAGATTTTATTTTTAATGATTCAAAACTGAAGAACAGTAAACATTTTAACTCGTGCTATTATTTTTGTTTCTAATAAAGTATTTTTAAAAAATATTTTTAGAAGTTTTAATTTACAGAAAAATGTTTATTATAGAGTTTGTATATATGATATACTGCACCCATTTTCCACTACTAATATCTTACATTAATATAGTTCATTTGTTACAATCAATGAGCCAATATTATTATTATTAATTAACATCCAGGGTTTATTTACATGTCTTTAGTTTTTATTTAACATACTTTTTCTGTTCTGGGATCCTATCCAGGCTACCACGTTACATTTAGGAGTCATGCTTCCTTTAGATTTCTCTTAACTTTGTTTTGATGACCTTGACAGTTGTAAGGAATATTGGTTAAGTATTTTGTAGGAAGACTCTCTATTGGAATATGATGTTTTTCTCATGGGTTTTGTGGTGGAAGACCACAGAAACCTTCATCACATCATCTTGAGGGTAGATGCTGTCAATTGTTTATTTCTTTTCAAAAGTAACCTCATCCTCCATTTATGAAAAAATTAGAAAATACAGACTAAAAAAGAAGAAAATAGAAATCACCAATCTCACCTTACATGCCATGAAGAAAACCACTATAATATTTCAGTATAAAACTTCCACATCATCTATTTTGTATGTTTCTAAAAAATAAAATAATATTGATAATACTTCTTTATGATGTCATTTTACTAGTATAGTCTGAAATCTTTGAATATCAATGAATATTTTTCTACATAAATTTTAATGAATATATAGATGAACCAGTTTAGTTACTAAAACACTTAAAAATTTTTATTATAAATAATGCAGTATCATTGTTTTAATATCCTTGTAGTCAAGTCTTTATTCACATCTTCGATTATTTCCTAAAGATGTAGAATAATTTTCTTGCTAAAGGCTGTGTACTTATTTAGGATTTTGATGCATACTACTAAAGAGCCCTGAAGTTTACGTTATTACCCATGTTCTGAGCCCGTCCCTATGTCGCTATAACCTAGCCAGTATTGACAGTTATCACTTTTCCTGTTTATAATTTTTGTATAGTTAGATCTGTCACCGTTTTCCTTTACGGTTTCTTGATATTTAAAAAATAAGATATTTCTCTGGTGCTTTCTGTAGTTTTATTTTGCTTTTAAAATCTTTCAAATTGTGAAATATACCATATAAAGAAGAGTGCATGAACATAAGTATACAGCTTAAGAAATTATTTTAAAGTGAATTTTCATGAAACCACCACCCATGTCAATAAATAAATATTGCCATGAGCTGTACATATTCTTTCCTATTGTAACCTTGAGGCTATTACTATCTTATCTGTTAGGGCAATCATTTTCTGTTTTTCTTTTTTCCTTAGCCTTTTAATACCCAATTATTCACATCTAAGCACTACGGATTATTAGATTTGCCTTCATATAAAGGGAGCTCATACATTAGGTGTTTGTGTTTTCTTCTGTCTCTCTTTTTTTAAAAATGGTTTTATTGAGATATTATTTCACATACCATAAAAGCCACCCACTTAAAGTGGTTTTCAGTATATTCACAGAACTGTGGACTTATCACCACACCTAATTTG